GAGGGGAGGCTGGGGGAAGGTCAATGGGGAAAAAAGGAGACATGTACTACTATTTGTAATACCTTAAACAATAAAATAAAATTAAATATATATTACATTAAATAATTATAATAGATTAGGTGCCTCATTTTGCACAACAGAAATTTTAAATAATGTGCAGCAGGTAGTTTTCACCTGTTTTTCTTAGGTTAGTAATAGAAGGCTAACGTACAGACATTTTTATTTTTATATATTTGTTTTATTATAGAAATTTTGAAAGATATACAGACAATAAGTACAAAATCTCCCATAGCCCTAGTATGCAGCCTCACCAATCGCCAACTTTATGCCTACCATGTCTCCTCTATGCTCTCCCCTCCCTGACCCCAAGTGTTTTACAGCAAATCCCAGATGTACATGTACCATAACAAATACTTCAGTATATATCCCTAAAGGTCAGCTTACACACACACACACACACTTAACATACCCAACAAAATAAATGACTTATAATGCCTTAACACTATCTAATACCCAGTCCATGTACAATTTTTGTGATTGCGTCGACAGTCTTTTTACAGTTGCTGTTTTTTAAATCAGGATCCCAACAAAGTCCACAAATTACATTTGATTATTTCTAAATTTCTCTTAATTTTAGGAAAAAAATGCCTCCTCTTTATTTTCATGTTACTTATAGACAAAATAATGTGGTTTATCATGTAGAATTTTCCACATTCTCGGTTTGCCTGATTGTATACTCTCATGGGGACATGTGATGTGTTCATCCCTTCTCCTGTGAACTAACTGCTAGATGGAGAGAGCAGTGTTGTCTAACAGAACTTTCTGCGGGGGTGACAATGGTGTATATCTGTGCTGTCAGAGGGCAGCCGTTAGCCACACTTACAATGTGGAGAGTGTGGCTGAGGAATGGGAAAGGCCCCTTAGAGCAGCATGACTTGCTGAGAGGAGAGCCCAGTTTACACTTCTACTCCCTGGAAGGTGAATGCAACAGCGAGGTGATCTCCAGGATCCTTTGGCTCTGAGGTTACGTAGTGAATGGAAAGAACACGAACACGCTGAGGATGGTGGAACAGTAAGAGACAGAGCATGGGTCCTTGAAGACTTGGTGGAGCTGTCCTAGGAGCCCTGCAGGGCTGACCTCTGGACTTCTTTCACGGGAGAAGTCAAAGGTATTAAGGGCTTTTGTTATATACAGCCATACCTAATCCTTACTGATGCAACTTATCAGGTTCTGCTACACCCAATTAATGGGTAATCATACTGGTTGAATCTACAGGGCCTGTTTTCTCTCAGCCCTCCCCACAGCTCATGCCTTTGTTCAGGTCCACATTCTACACCAGCGGTTCTCAACCTGTGGGTCCCGACCCCTTTGGGGGTCGAACGACCCTTTCACAGGGGTCGCCTAAGACCATCGGAAAACACATATATAATTACATATTGTTTTGTGATTAATCACTATGCTTTAATTATGTTCAATTTGTAACAATGAAAATACATCCTTAGCCATACCTAATCCTTACTGATGCAACTTACTAGTATCTATTAGGTTCTGCTATACCCAATTAATGTGTAATCATACTGGTTGAATCTACAGGGCCTGTTCTCTCTCAGCCCTCCCCACAGCGAATGAAATGCCTTTGTTCAGGTCCACATTCTACACTAAAGCCCAGATTATGGCATGTACATTACTAACTGGTCTCCTGCCTACAGTCTTGCCACCTCTAATCTACCTTGTATGATGGGTGACCTTTGTAATATACAAATTTCATCATTCCATTCTGCCCAGATTATGGAGTGTACATTACTAACTGGTGTCCTGCCTACAGTCTTGCCACCTCTAATCTACCTTCTATGATTGGTGACCTTTGTAATATACAAATTTCATCATTCCATTCTGTTAAAATTAAAAAAAGTCTGTCCTCGCTGAAACTGGTTTGGCTCAGTGGATAGAGCGTCTTAAAAAAAAATGTCTGTCCTCATTGTACCATGATTTTATGACTAAAACACTCCTATTTTTTAAACACGGGGGAGGGGGAGGGGCACATATTAGCCAACATTTTCAGACCTTCAACACCTCCCGCCTCTCCCTCTCCCCCTCCCACGTCACCACCCCACACTGCCACTGGAGTCAAAGAGTTGTGAGAACCCTGCTGCACACTTTCTTGAAGAAGAAACACAGATTCTGTGACTAATTTCAATTTTTTCCCCTCCCTCCTTTCGTTGTTAGAAAGGTCAGAAACAAATCAATACACACACTAAAGATGACATCACTACGAGAAGAGTTCACAGCCAGGGTAGAAGTGTTTTCCCCTTAATCACTCCTTTGTGCCCAGTGAAGCCGTAACTCATGCAAACACAGTAAGGCATTCTGACACACCACATACCAGAACCTCCACGTGACACTGTGGCTGAGTCCTCATTGTGCCATGACTTTATAACTAAAACACTCCTATTTTTTTAAACATGGGGGGGGGGAGGGGCACATATTAGCCAACATTTTCAGACCTTCAACACCTCCCGCCTCTCCTTCTCCCCCTCCACGTCACTACCCCACACTGCCACTGGAGTCAAAGAACTGTGAGAACCCTGCTGCACACTTTCTTGAAGGAGGAACACAGATTCTGTGACTAATTTTAATTTTTCCCCCTCCCTCTTTTCGTTGTTAGAAAGGTCAGAAACAAATCAATACACACACTAAAGATGACATCACTACGAGAAGAGTTCACAGCCAGGGTAGAAGTGTTTTCCCCTTAATCACTCCTTTGTGCCCAGTGAAGCCGTAACTCATGCAAACACAGTAAGGCATTCTGACACACCACATACCAGAACCTCCACGTGACACTGTGGCTGAAAATGTGGGGCGGGAGGGCAAAGGTCAGCCTGATCTCCTGACTGCAACCTTCCTTTCACTTTTCCAATCACACTCGGTCATTTCCTGAAAACAGAGCATGGACTCTCTCACCTGGTGACCTCCTGCTGCAGCTGGGACACGGAAGGCACATAGAACACCACTCCGAAGGAGACGGTGGGCTCCAAGGCGTACTTATCCAGCTGCTTCTTCAGAGGCTTTTCCAAATCCACCCACCGGCGCTGGTTCTGCTTGTTGTAGTACCAGAGGCTGAAGTACGTGATCTGGAAAGAGGGAAGGTCACTGAAGGAGGCAGAAATGTACAAAAGGGTCTCTCTACTTCAATTGCTCTAATCCATGACCTGGGACCACGTGACAGCCATCTCCTATTGTTTCACTTCTCAGAAAGGGACAATAGCAAAACCTGAAGGGGGGAAAAAAAAAGAGTTAAGACCTATCTATAGCTAGGTACTCGTATTCAGGGGAAAAAAGGTGAGAAGTCAATTACTCTTGCAGACTATTTCTTCAACCGTGCACCAAAAAAATGCCTTCATGGCCTAGACAGCAGAATGTAGTGGGTGCTCTGAAATTTTACATACAGTTTTTAACAAAAACCATATGCTAAAAAATATTGAAATACTAAGTGTATTATAATTAATGTTTTATAATAAACATAACTGGGGGTCTACCTAGTAGAATTCTTTTTTTTAAAATTGATTTCAGAGAGAGGAAGGGAAAGGAAGAGAGAGGTAGAAACATCGATACCCGGGCTTATGCTCTGACTGGGAATCAAACTGACAACCTTGTAGTGCATGGGATGATGCTCAAACAACTAAGCCACACACCGGCTAGGCTACCTAGTAGAATTCTGAAGAGACAATGCTCATCCAACCTTTCGCTACTCTCAAATTTGGCTTCTATAAATAAACTAGAAGCCTGGTGCACGAATTCGTGCACGGGTGGGGTCCCTCGCCCTGGCCAACGATGGCGGCCTATGGTGTGGGAGACGGCCAGCAGGGGGAAGGGACCATGGGAGGTTGGCTGTGGGAGTGCACTGACCACCAGGGGGCAGCGCCTGCATTGAGCATCTGCCCCCTGGTGGTCAGTGCGCATCATAGCAACTGGTCGACCAGTCGTTCTGGTCGTTCGGTCATAACGGTCACTTAGGCTTTTATATATATAGATAAGTCTGTGTAAGTATCCTAAATTCTAGTAATACTAGTGCAATTGCATAACTGCAACTCCTCTTTGCCTCCAAAAGTTCATTAGATACAAACTTAAAGCAACTGTAGGCCATGGAGATACATTACCTCTCTCTTTTTTTCTCTCTCTCCCTCTCTTTCTCTCTCTCTCTCTCTCACACACACACACACACACAAAATTATACCTAAAGCAGTAAAATAACTTGTTATTTTAAGTTATTTAAGTTACCCACAGGTGTTTTTTTTTAAATGCCCAGACATTTAGATCTCACTTGCTGTGTAACGAAACTGTTCAGGTAAATCAATACTAGCCCTGAGCATGGTCAACCTGAAAGGGCATTAATGCACTTAAGGGTTGAAAGGACAGCCTCGGGCCACTGCTAATATTTACCTCTTCCCAATCAATTTACGGTCAAGGTCATTACAAAACTCGCTGCTTTGTCCTAGGCTCTACAGAAACACTACCAAATAGAACCTTCTATGATGATGAAAATATTCTCTTACCTGCACTCTCCAATACAGCAGCCACTAGCCACATGTGGCTATTGAGCACTGGGAATGTGGCTAGTGCAGCTGAGGAACTGAATTTTTTAATGCTATTTAATCTTTTATGCAAAAGGTACTTTAATAAATTTTATTTTTCAAGAGCACTTAAGAAAACCCATATCTAACATCATACACAATAGTGAAAAACTAAAATCTTTCCCCCCAGGATCAGGAATAAGACAAGTATGCTCATGTTCACCACTGCTATTCAACTGTACTGGAAAATTCTCTCCAGGTAAGAAAATGAAATAAAGGCATCCAAACTGGAAAGAAGTAAAACTATCGCTATACACTGAAGACATGATCCTTTATTATTAAAAATATATATATCACCCTGGCCTGTGTGGCTCAGTTGGTAGTAGCTAGTTCAATTCCTGGTTAGGGCAGGTGTCTGGATTGGAGGTTCAATCCAGGAGACAGCCGATTGATGTTTCCCTCTCTCCATCTGCCTTCTCTCTCTAAAAAAAAAAAATCAAGAAAAACATTTTTTTTAAAATCCCAAAGATGCCCTCACCAAAACAAAACAAAACTACTAGAGCTAATAAATTCAGCAAAATCGCAGGGTATAAGATCTCCAAGCAAAGATCAGTATAGATTCTATACACCAGGGATGAAAAATTCAAAAAGAAAATGAAGAAAGTATAAACATCTAGAAATAAATTTAACCATGGAGGTGAAAAGGCTTCTGTACTGAACAATACAAAACAATGCTGAAAGAAATTAAATTGAAAGACATACCATGTAAATGGATTGAACACTTAAGTTTGCTAAGATGGCAAAACTCCCCAAAATGATCTACAGATTCAAATGCAATCCCTATCAAAATGCCAACAGCTATTTTCACAGAAATGGAAGAGCCAATTCTCAAATGCATATGGAATAGCCAAAACAATATTTAAAAAAGAACAAAGTTGGAGGACTCACACTTTCTGATTTTAAAACTTACTACAAAGCTACCTTAATCAGAACAGTGAGGTATTGGTATAAGAATGGAGTCCAGAAATGAAGCCACACATCTATGGTCAACTGATTTTAGACAAGAGTGCCAAGACCATTCAGTGGATAAAGAACAGTCTCTTCAACAAATAGTCAACAACTGAAGTTAGGTCCCTACACTTCTCACCATGTATTAAAAGTAACTCAAACTGGATCAACAACCTAAATATAAGAACTATAAACTCTTTAGCAGAAACCATAGAGGTAAATCTTCATAACTTTAAAATAGATCCTTAGATAATGACACAGAAAGCTTGAGCAACAAAGGAAACAACAGATACATTTCACTTCATCAAAATTAAAAACTATGTGCATCAAAGGTCCAAATCAAGAAAGTAAAAAAGGCGCAAACTACACAGAATGGGAAAAGATATCTGCAAATCACATATCTAGTATCTAGAATATATAAAGAACTCTTGCACAACAAAAAGACAACTCAATTTTAAAAAGGGCAAAGGACTTGAAGAGATATTTACCCAAAGAACATATACAAATGGCCAAGTGCACATGAAACAAGCTTCATGTCATTAGTCACTAGGCAAATATAACTCAGAACCACAATGAGATATTGGATGTGAAGAACCTAAAACCTTTATACATTGCCAGTGGGAATGTAAAATGGTTCAGCCACAATGGAAAATAGTTTGATCGTTCCTCAAAAGTTAAACGTATTAATCATCATATGAACCAGCAGTTCCACTCCTAGATATATAACCAAAAGAACTGAAAACAGATACTCAAATACATGTACAAGCATGCTCATAGAAGGGCTATTTGCAATAGCCAGAAGATGGAAACAACTTAAATGTCCATCAGTAGAAGAAAGGATCCGTAGATTTTGGAATATACAAACAATGGGACATTATTCAGCCATGAAAAAGCAGCACTGACACATCCTACAGTGTGGATGATTTGCAAAAACATTATACTAAGAGGAAGAAGCCAGATACAAAAGGTCACATATTGTATGATTCCATTTAAACAAAATATTCAGAATAGATAAATCCTGAGCAACAGAAACAGAAAGGAGACTGATGGCTTGGAGAGTGGGTTGGAAGAAAGGAGAGCAATTGATTAACGCGTGCAGGGTTTCCATTCAGGGTAACGAAATGTTTTGAAACTAGAGAGAGTAGGTATTGTGAATGTACTAAATCACTACATGGTTTATTTTTAAATCGTTAATTTTTTATGTGAATTTCATCTCGAAAAAGATTTTTTTAAAGAACAGAACACACACACACAAAAAACCCCACTAACGACTAAAATTAAGTACAGACTTTTTTAAATTTATAAATACAGTGGGGCCTTGACTTACGAGTTTAATTCGTTCCGTGACGGAGCTCGTAACTCAAATTACTCGTATGTCAAATCAATTGTGAACGAGTGAGACACGTGATGCTGGGCTGATGTTGTGGCGTTCACTGTGACGTTCGCTGCGCCAACTAGCGGTGGGGTATCTGAAGCTGGCTCGTAACCCGAATTTTAGCTCGCAACTCAAAGCAAAAAATCAGCCAAGAGACGGCTCGTATCTCGAAAAACTCGTTAGTCAGGACACTCGTAAGTCAAGGCCCCACTGTAGGTCAAATTCAGTGTGTTTGAAACAGTCTAAGGAAAAAAAATGAGCCAGAAATAGATGAGGCTAGCCATGAGTTAATTGGATTTTTTGCTTCCTAATATCTATCCTTTGGTCTTCCTCTATTTAAAGTTAAGATATAGCAGGAACTTTTTTTTTCCATACAGAAACCTTAGTGCAGACAGGCCCCCATGTGTCCTAAATTTTGACTCTTACCAGTCATTACTTGGCCTAGGATAGTTGCCCAGAATCATGTGTCTTCTCTTCCTTGAATCCGAATCTTCTGGGCTATGCATGCCCTGTAGTGTTTATGGGCTTGGTTTAACTGTAATTAAAATGTTCCCAGGAACTAGCCTTTAATTATTGGCTCTCAGGTGATGCCTCCCATCACTCCTTCTTTATTCCCCAGGACCTTTCCTAGTAAGAATCCACATGGCTTCCCTTGCCCCACAGCTCTGTCTGCTCTCACCGATGACCAAAGCAAGCTGACTAGGCCTGTGGGAAAACTCACTCCAAGAGAAGCCTCTAAATAACTGAATCTTCCAGCATCCTCAGAACACTTCTCAATGACCAGTCAATAGGTTTTTGTGAAATTTCTTCACGGTGAGATACTTTTACCTTCACCGGTTCTTTCCTATTTTATTCTAAACAAACACATCAGTAGTCTTACTAAAGTTGCTCAAGGATTTCTTTATAAGCTGTTTAAAATTTTACTAGCTACTCTCCTAAAATGGTATGGATAATTGTGCCTGCTGTGTAAACAACAGTAAAAACAAAAGTTATGTGGTTAAAAAAGTTGGCTTCTTTACAGGCACAATAGGGTTTACATGAACCAACATTTACTCAGAGAACAAAGTGATTCGGTAACTAAGCTTTTTGTTCAGGAGAAAACACAGCTACAAATTTTTGAGCTCAGGTGGAAGGTGTGTCCCAAATCACAGTCGTCTAAAGAGACACCGATGGTTAT